TGAGTACGCAGGGATAACATTACTGCCACCGTACGGCCCAAACTGAGCGATGACAAACACTTACACATAGGATATTTCGTACCCACGTCCGATATGAAACATGGGAAGAACTTTGTTTTAACATTTTGGAGTAAATGCAACCATTTTGTTCTGCTTCCATCTCTAACCTTTCTTAATAAGTTTGTGAAGCTACACATTGGCTATGTGGTGATAGCACAATCAGATATGATAATTTCTATATGAATATTGCCAGCCAGGCTAGGGCCAGGGAGATACATCTCAAAAATCAATCCATTGCACCAGATCACGGAAAGCTTGAGTGTGCTCAACCTATTGCTGAACTTGATCTACTGAAATCAGATTTGCGCCAGACTGAGCACCCAAATACCATATGTAGGCAATGGCGGTATTGAATGATAGTCCTAATTTTCTAATTATAACAATCATTTTAGATTCCCAGCTCGATAAAGCCACAGGTAACAGCGGCTAGATGCCTGAGGTATCAATGCAATGGCAGGAGGTGGTGGAAGAAGAGAGTGTGAGAGAGTGAGGAGCACACTTCACGGCCCAGGTAGTTTCAAGCCATGCTGCAAACAGAAATCATGCAATATTAACAATTTGTATTAGCTAAGTTGACTGATGTATTCATTTCTGACATCAACATTCATATCATGAAAGTAAAACATTACTCTATCCTACATTTGGAGCACATGTTACATCGCTGTCCCACAATCTGTACATTGTGTGACAGTTTTGTTCATTGGCTATTTTACTGATAATAATCATTTATGTACTCAACTGTTTTCAGCACAGGGAAGGTGTCCCCGCATCATCTACACCAGATACCAGAATCCAAGTCAACATGCTATTCGGCGTTAGACTTTGAATGTTAGCTCACTCTGTTGACAGTAAGATTGAACTTTGCCTTAGAAACAATAATACGTAACATTAATAAAGAGTATAAAGGTGATTAAATCAGTGATAATGAGTAGTATTGCCATGTGATAATGACGATATTACATTAACGCCAGGCACAAACACCAAACTGTCAGTAAGCCAACCACAAAGACAATGGATGTGAGCTTTCTAGGGTAGAGTGTTGTGTTTGATCCTTGTGAGTACTAAATGCGCATGCATGCATCCAATCCTGCCCTGTCCACAAAGCAACCTGGCTGACAAGAGTAGCGTGTATTACGTGTACAACCACCTGGATTTCAACATCATATACCACAGTCGCGTCAACGAGGCCTGGGGCAGCTCCTTCCATGGCAATGGTGTGTTTTGTAGCTGCATTGGTATTTTCATCACGAAATGTTGTGTCACACTTAACACCAAAATCGATCTATTGACAGCATCTGCTAGGGTTCAGTCGATCATTCAAGTGTTTTGAGTTTATGGTTTTCTCTCCCACGACCCATCTGCGTGCAGCCGCGAAACATCCGGAACATAGATCAAAGCAGCAGTGGTGTGGGCGGTCAGTGGGTTGTGCGCCGCCCCTGACGGCGCGTAGCATGTCTGGCGCAGTGTCCTAGAACTACTGACTTTGGGTGTAAAGCAACATCCTATGAGGAGGATTTTTTCACTCCTTTTCCCCATCTTTTATGTAAATTTTTAACTCCATACAAATCCGAGCCCACTTGAAACCACCAAGCATAAACAAGGCTCTACAGAACCTGGACACCCATAGATATGTCATTGCTCACCTGCATCTGAATCATGTCTATGTATGCACAGAGCAAGGGCGCCAGGCACCTTCAAGCCCAAGCCCCCCCCCCCCCCCCTCCGCCGCCCCCCAGCGACTCCAGTCGCTTGCACGCATCAAGTTTGGTTTGTTTACAAAATGCTTCACAATCGGCAGGAGTGTGCCAAATACAAGGTTTTCACGCATCTCCATTTTTTTTTTGTCTCACCACCACACCACAAAAGCAGAGCTTGCTGTAAAAACCAGCAAGGCCTGGTAGAGAAATTTGCTCTACGTATTTCTTTTACCCGAAGAAACTTGACCACTAAATCGCATCACTCCCGAAATCCAGGAGTGAAAGATTTAAGCAATGTCTCCTAAATACAATTAACAAGATGAATATCACAACTCGAGCACTCAGTTTGACAGATTTTAAGTCAAGGCAGCTGATGAAAAAAAAATCCAAAAAGTATTAGTCTTTATATGTATCTAACTACTTTTGTTTTTCTTGGTATCATACGAGTGTGATAGCACTTTATTCTTTATTCCTTTCCGATTGCCTTTAGAGGTACCATCTGCTGCTTAAAATGTTGAACAATTTCTTTGTAAGAAGCTCCATGTGCAAACTTGCACGCATCTTATAAATCAGTTTTCTTAATTCGCCAGCCGCCCAAACATGTTTGATTTGCACCCAAGAGTGAACAATTCACAGGGAATGAAGGAGACAATTTGAAGCACGAAACTGATTTTTACTGCCATCTTTGCCCTGTTAAACCGTTGGTTAGCTATTTTTTTTTTTTTTTTGGTTCATAGCGGTGCTCGACAATGATAAATCTAAGCCTTTCGAGTACCTAACTCACCAGGCTACCTGACAAGGCCATCCTTATGCTGCCATATAGAGCTTTGAGACAAACCTGCCACAGCTAATACAGAAGTACTTTGATTGCGAAATTCTGCCCTCCGGAAATGTTTATCATGCACACCTCTTACTTGTTTCGCATTTTAATCCCGTAGGTTGGTGGACGTGATTGCTATTTATTTTTGGGGGTGAGTGGGATGACTCCTGTCTGTCAACAAACCGTGCAAGCTGTGGTACTGACTTTTTGTTTTGGGGGACCAGGAAGAAGTGTGCCCTCAAAAAGCCAGTAAGTCTCCTGTGGGCTAACTTTTTGCTTACCTTACCTGCTTTCAACACATAATTTGTAACCAGAGTTAGCCATTTTTTGTTTTAATCCATTAAGTTTTGTCCAAGATCAATTACGATGCCACAAGGCATGTATCGGGCTTATTTTGTTCCATATTCTTGATTATTTGTCCCAAATTTCTTGAAGTGGTCCCTCATGGTTGTTTTAACCAGATGTTTTCCATAGCTGTCATGGTTGATTGACTGGCAAATGGCTGTACTGTATATATGCACTATAATGTTAACACTCGGGTACTCTAAGCTGCATAACAATTGTAATATGAAGTAAATATTAGCATTAAGCAAATAGTCAGACCATCCCATTTAAAATGTGAAGCCAACATCTCAAACTTTATCACTAAATATGAACAAACAAGCCCAAATAGATGCATTTGGTGCAGCTGAAAAGGCAAGCAGTAAAACTGACATGGTCATCTAAAAGTTATGATTACTTTTGGAGAAGAGTGATTGTTTTGTGGAGCATACCCATTATTGCCCTTGAAAGAGGTTAACCATGGCAATCAGAATAAGTTGTTCAAAGTGATTTAAAGTGTTTTCATTTGTGTGTTGTCAACTTTGTCTGATGTCAACAAGCACACACAAATGAGCTGAATAAAAATGTAAGTTGAAACTGGCCAAAAAATAAACTTCATCACTTTTTTATCATAAGTGCTGCTGTCAACAGATAGGTGAGTTGAGATGATGTTCATCATATGGGCTACTCTAAGTTAGGTTAAGTTGCTTAAGTGCATGGCAAGTGACAATAGGAATTGTGCAGGAATCAGTAACTCACAACTGCTGCTGTGATACCAGCAGGTTAGACACGATGAGATGAAGTAAGGCCTTATTCGGTTAGGCATAGTTACGCTACTTTCACGGAAATAAGCATTCGTATTTTATAAGAAACAGTGACCAAATGTTTGTTTTTCCTGACCCCATCTTAACAGAAGCCAGAGGTATGTGTATTGTGTTTGACTTGGTGATGAGCTGTTATGTAGGAGTCCTAGGTTGTTGTTTTTTGTTTGAATGCCTTATTCTCGTTAAATTTTCTGTTGTTACTTTGCTGTTGAATTTCTTTGCTTGGCTTTGTGTTAAAAACGCTGCGGAAGGGAAGTGCAAAGCGCGACATCAAATTACCTGTGTTATTTAATTTTATATGTTCATTACACTGCCATGACGTTGCTACGCTTTAATGTATTCTGTTTCTATTTAATGGCCTAAGATGTTAAGAGACAACAGTTTTGTCAGGTTTATGATATTACGCCCATGCCAACTTGAAATAGATGTTTGTTTGCTGAAGCATCAGTCAATAGTTCATAGCTTGCATCTTTTGTAAATTGAATCCTTCACTCCCGGACGGTCTTTTTGCGATGGAATTTTTCCCTCCCACCCTGGTTCAAAAGCGATTCTAGCTCACTGGTCTGGCGTCGACTTGGGCCACTGACGGCGCGGCGATGCGGCGGCGCGGCCGCAGGCGGGCGCAAAATCCGCGTGCAGATGACGCCATGCTCCACCCAGCGCCCGGCTAACAGCGTATGGTCCGACGGCTCGCAGCTGGCTATGGAGATCAGCGGTCGCGACCAGTCGGCCGCTGGCGCCGTCCGCTCCCAGTACACCTACTCCGTCACATTCCATGTGAGTGGGGCTCGCCGTGCGCACGCTTCAGGGCCTGCGCTGCAGGACCTCGTGTGCTGGGACCCTCGTCAGCGCCCAGCATACCTGCCCAAACACCTTTCTCGTCTGTAAGACCCCTTGTCAAGGTGCAGCATACCTACTGTGCTGTCTTCCATGTGAGTTGGAACCTTCGTCAGGATCCAGCACTTGAGCTCCACCACTTTCGACTAGGATCGGGCCTCTCATTAAGGATCAGTAGAACCACTCCGCCATCTTCCACGTGAGTTGGTCGCCTGGCCATAATCCAGCACACCCGCACCGTCATCTTCCACATGACTCGACTGACCACGCCCGTCTGTCGTGCTCCAGCAGGCGATGCTTGTCCATTGTCGGCTGGTAAACCACGCCGCTGACCGCACCAGTTTCCTATCGCTCTCAGGAGACGCACATCTCAAATGGTTGTCGCGCTCGGACTACCTGATGGACTCGCTTCCGAACGCCAACATCCAGTAGATTTCTATCATGAACTTGTTGGCGATCGTGCTCTTCCATTCCGGCATGGTGGCCATGATCATGCCGCGCACACTGGAAAATGAGAACGCTCGCTACAACCAGGTGCGCCGGCCGGCCGACGGTGCGGGGCCCGCGCGGTGCGCCGGAGCGCAGGTCGCGCCGACCTGCGGCACCGCCGGCTCGGCCGGCTCCGCCCGGGAGCCGTGTTGTAAGATTGCGCGGCTCGTGCAGCCATAGCCAGGCCAAGCTGCGGCGCTGCTGCGGTGGACGGCGTGGCCGCGGCGCGCCCCGTCGCATTGCCCCGCCGCTCTGCTGGGGTGCTGGGTCTTGCTGGGCGCGGTCTTGCTGGGCGCTGGCAGCCAGCCAGCTGTGCTCTGGGTCCGCTCGCTAGCGGCGTACAGTAGGGCTGTCGGGCATCACGGATCTGGCAGCTGGGTAGCTGGGCCCTGGGTTCGCTTGTTGGCCGCGTGTAGCAGAACTGTCGGACGGGTCTTGCAGCTTGGTAGCTGGGTTCATGTGCGTAGGCCGGCTGGATCAGAATCCGGAGTGGCAACCGTCCCTGGTGACAGCCGAGAGTGACAGCCGTCCCTGGCCATGGTTGGGTAATGACAGCCGTCCCCGGGCCGGCGCTGGGGAGTGACAGCCGTCCCCGGGCCGGCGCTGGGGAGTGATGGCCGTCCCCGGGCCGGCGCTGGGGAGTGACAGCCGTCCCCGGGCCGGCGCTGGGGAGTGACAGTCGTCCCCGGGCCGGCGCTGGGGAGTGATGGCCGTCCCCGGGCCGGCGCTGGGGAGTGACAGTCGTCCCCGGGCCGGCGCTGGGGAGTGACAGCCGTCCCCGGGCCGGCGCTGGGGAGTGATGGCCGTCCCCGAGCCGGCGCTGGGGAGTGACAGCCGTCCCCGGGCCGGCGCTGGGGAGTGATGGCCGTCCCCGGGCCGGCGCTGGGGAGTGACAGCCGTCCCCGGGCCGGCGCTGGGGAGTGATAGCCGTCCCCGGGCCGGCGCTGGGGAGTGACAGTCGGCGGGCTGCCCGTCAGATCGAGTCGGGGAAACGACTCTCAGGAGGGGTTTGGCGGAAAGCTGGTGTACTGCAACGTGTTCCGACCGCCTCGGCGCGGCACGCTGCTCTCCGTGCTGATCGGCTCCGGTGTTCAGGTGCTCTCGATGACGCTCATCACACTCGGTGGGTGACTTGCGGCCGCTGTGGTGGCCCTCGCGCCTCAGCCGTATTCGGGCAGGCCTTGCGGTGATGGTTGCCCGTGCCATGGTTGACACTGCAGCGACACTGTCCTCACGCCTGGCGCTCTTTCAGGATGTGGCATTATTACCGGGACTGCGGCACCCGTCGTTTGATGGGGATTACTGTGATTTGATGGTTAGCGCGGTGGGATGAGCAGAGGGCCTAGGTGTTTTGTTGTTGATGTTAAGGCCGTTTTAATTTTTGGAAAGTGGAGGCATATTGAAATGACGTGAACACATACCTTTCATCGCATACTGAAAATTAATTCAAGAAGTTAACATCTGCATAATTCACTCAATGAACTGTTGTTGTTTTTTTTGTTGTCCTGCCTGTGTTGCGTCGCTGACCTGCACCAGCACCGGTGCTGGCCTCTGACCGCCTGCACCAGTATCGACGCTGACCTCCGACCGCCTACATCAGCGTCTTGTGTTGACGTCTGACCGGTCCCTGCAGTGTTCGAGTGCCTGGGCCTCCTGTCGCCGGTCAACCGCGGCTCGCTGAAGACCTGTGGCCTCGTGCTGTGCATCTGCCTGTGTACGCCCCCCGGCTACGTGTCCACCCGAATCTACAAGTCGGGAAGAACTAGAACTTGATGGAAACACGCTTGGGCGTGACATCTACCAAGCTTGGAAAATTGCCACATTTGAATCGGCTGATGATGCATTGTGTGCGGGATGCTTTGCCGTTGAGTCCTGCTCCCAATCGCAGTGCAGTGGGTGAACTCGGGCAACGTAATCGTGGTCATTGACAATGCCTGTGCCCCACAGAAGAGAAATCACTGTGCTCGGGGGTCGGGTGAATCGTCTGTTCCGGTGGATACCGTGGCTATCGCGGGTGGGGTCGGACCGCTGCGGAGTGCGTCGATGGTGCTCCCACTGAGCCCTCGCCTGCCGCCCGTCCGCGGGATCGTCTCCAGGATCACGCTGCTGCTGAACTACGTGCCGTGGGCGTACGGCTTGCCGGCAGCGCTGCCATTCCGCACCATACTGTCGCTGATCGGGTTCTGGTTTGGCGTGTCCGTGCCGCCCACTTTCGTTGGCACCTACTTCGCCTTCAAGAAGCACGTGCTGGAGCACCCGGTGAGCGCTGGGCGCGGACGGGGGGGGGGGGGGGGGCGGCCGCGCGGCGCCACCGACGGCCCCCCTCGGGCGCGCTGCGTGGCTTCACCGCTGCAAGGGGCGCACTGAATGCTCCAGCACAGCAGTGCATGTATCACCTATTAACCTGGCAGTATGCAGTCTTGGGTTTGACTCTCTAGTGGTATTTAATATAGTGGCTGATAGTCAGGAACAGTTGGTAGTCGTGTGATCATGTGAAAAGCAGTATTTAGCTAAATATGGCATCGTCGCGGCCTTTGAGAGATTGGGCTCAACCCAGAAAGTACTTGTTTCATTTTCCCCGAACGACCAGAAAATTATGGTTACATTGAGTACCCTTTAAAAAATACAATGAATGTTATGCACCTGGCCGTGACTCCCAGTAAAATTTGTCCACCTCAGTCTGTACGTCCGCCTTAGCACGCGCGGCGGTCGGTGAGCGGGAACACCTGTGTTGCTCACTATTTTGCCCATGGCTGGGATGGCCTGCATCCGGTAGCAGTGACCGCTCAAGGCCAGTTGATATCAGAGGGCGGGCTGGACTCTTCCGAACAATGTGGCACATGAAGGAACGTCATAATTGTTCTAGAAACGGTATTCCTACTATCAGATGTGCTCAAAGGCGCATACCAGGTTTTGTTAGTTTGAACACTGATCCCAGAAATTCATTCATGGAAAATGGTGTAGACAAAGTTATAGAACGCCATCATTTGGCGGCTTGGTGTGACTCAGCGGCGCAAGTTTTTTCTGTGATTTGGTGTCTATGCTTGTTTTTATTTTGCTTTTTGCCAGAAGCATCCTTTTCTGGGAGGCGTGTTGTCGGCATCGGAAGGCCACAGTGATGGATGCCAATGTGAATTAGTTATGACTCAACGTTGTTGCATAGTTTCAGAACGTCTCGCGTCTACAGCCGTATCTCTGGCCAGTGCATCCTGTGGCCGGTGAAGTTGTCGAGTACCTTCCCGTACATGCGCCTGCTCTTGGAGGCCATCGTGGACAAGCACATGCGGGTCACCATCACTGGTCCGTCGGAGCACTCCGGCGTGGCACGCCCAAATGTGCACCGCGAACATCGGCCGGAAGATAGTCGAGAAAGCCTGGCGGACAGCCGCACCCGGCAAGCCGATTCCAGTAGTTTACATTTGGGATGACTAGCTTTGCTGGCCCTGGTGGGCGTTAAGCATTGTCTATTGGGGATAGATGCTCCTTGTAGAATGTCATGTGATATTGGTTGGGGAGTGAAATGTTAGTTTCCATTATCATCGGATGTACAATGTGCCTTGCCAAAGATGTGTTTGCGTCTTTGTTACCCACATGTTGTGGATTCACAAAACAGACTGAACAAGTGAAGTCTTATATTGGTTGTGTGCTTTGCTGAAAGTGCTTTGTATATTGTATCCTGTGTTTTCGGTCAGACATATGTCAGATGCAGGGTTAATGCAAGAATGCATGCTTCGCCTATCTTTTAATGGTGGAATTTATTATGAAAGCAGCGGGGGATTGCAGTACAAAAATTATATCATTGTTCATCGTGCCATGTCACAGTACAGCACTGAAGTAGGCCTCAATGACACTGTTGACCAGTGCCACTTCACCATGTACCACATTAGTTGACCGCTCTATGTCAAGTCTATGAGAAAACAGTTTATGATTCATGAATGACTGGAAACAGCTGATTTAACGCTGTCAAAGGACTATTGCCAGCCCAAATGCCATTCCACCACAATGAATATGTCGGGGCTGACTAGTGATTTCATAAATAATCCCGTGCAAGAAAAACATTCTTGGTGGATCAACCTCACCATCTTTACCATAGCAATAACAATGATTTGTTGAACAATTCATGGCAATGCCACAGATTCATTGTTAATTTCTGCATGCGACTACACTGCCAGGTACAAATAACAACGAACGCAACGTAATACAACGATAAATAATGCAACAACAATAACAACGAGCGCAAATACTGTGTACATCACAAGATGTCAATGTCACAACTGCAGCACTGGGGGCGAAGACAGGTCGACAGTTCAATATTGACATCCCATCAGTCCCTGGCAGGTTTCGGTAAGAAATTGACGACACTATATGACGGTCTTCACAGCATATCGTGCTTTTTTATCGTGCAGATTCTTAATAAGCTGCCATAAAAGCTGGCGATCGCTACGTTTCGTATGTAAAACAGTCGAAGAAAGCTTGTCTTACGACCAATGCTAAGACAAAAAGAACAAGCCATTTACCGACCGACCACCCAACACACCACCCGCCATGAGGATGGCCGGCTGGCATCAGTTTTAGCGCGTTTTGAGGTATAATTTAGGTCTGGCTGCCAGATGCTGCTAGGTATTGCTGTCGTCACAAAACCATTCCATGACGTCATCAAACGATGACGTAATGGGGTGCATTTTTACAAACTTCGAAATTGTGTTACTTAGAGTCGTTTTTGAGCCTTGAAAACTTACCAAAAGTTACGAGTAAGCCTTTCTCATCATATCTGATCCTTATCTCAATATCTTCAAATGTGGAACATTCCCTTTAATACTGGGGCTGCTTTCAATGTCTTCTTGGGCTGAAGTGCAAACGGAAGCCATGCAACTTTTTTGCACGTTTGGTGTTGAACCAGAAAATGAGGAGAATGTGTTTATTTCATTTAATGCCCCATGCAACTTTCATCACAGGCAAGCGCAGGATCTGTCAAGAACGAGCACCATGTCGTTGCATACTCGACATGCCTACTAACTGTTGTGCTACCAAGTACTAAGTGTTGTCAGCTATCTGAATACTGCTCAAGAGATTTAATTACATTAGTTGGCAGTCAAGTACATTAACTACAAGGTTAAAAAGATAGCCTGAGGCTGGGTCTCCCTGCCGATGCCGCATTTCAGGTAAATTGTCTCACCCGCGTAGCTATTCATCCTTGAAAGAAAACTTGAAATTTTGAAAGAGAAGCAGAGAGATCCTTAAAAAGCTTTCAGAATTCCAATACAACAGGTTTATGAAATTTCCAAAGTGGGCTCCAACTTTCTATGTCTTTAAGCACTGTAGAGACAAACTCCCACGATTACGAATCAAAGGTCGCCTTATACTCGGTTGACAAGATCAACCCTTCTGTTTAAAGAGTAAGCAGTTGATGACATAAAAAATCAGGCCCGTGTTTTCCCCATATCTCGTCCGTTGAAATATGCGGTTTGGCGTGAATTAATAAGCTGATCTATGACACGCTTCAACCTGGTTGTAATTTCGGCAGGTATATTTTTGAAGTCGACATTTAGCAGCGTGAACTAGCGCCACGGCTTTATGCTAACAGGGCGATTGCCAGCTTTTGGCATCATTGTTATCATACCCTTTTTATGAGATATTGGTGTTCTATCTGTCTGGGAACAGATCACAAAGGTTCTGTGGAGGAACAGTCCTAATTTGTTCTCGAAAAACTTGAAGAAAAATGACGCACAATCATTCGAACCAGGTAATCTGCCTTTTTAAATTTCAGCAATGATTCCGTGAGTTCTTCAAAAGACTAAATGACGTAAGTTTTTAAGTGCATTTACGAGGAACATTGTGCACATGGATAAGACAAAAGTAATAGGCTTATTCCCCGTAGAAAAACCAAGAGGATGGAGATATAGATGTGTTATTTCCGCAGCATGGCTTCGTCAAAACGAATACAAAAGTAACTAAAAAATGGCCTGCCGAGATCCTGCTCGATTTTCCAGATTTCTTTTTTTTAAACAGCGAGCCTCAGCTTTTGCTGGATGTTCGTGACTTGTAAAAACTGTGGCTCACTGTTTAAACAAATCGAAAACCGAATGGGATAATCCGCAGCAATTTTGAACTTACCACTGCCATTCGTTTTCATAAAGACATCTTACCAAAATATCAACGCATGTATGTCGCCATTTTCCTGGTTTTTCTTCGCGGAGACCATTACTGCTGTCTTACCGCCAAAAGACCCGGTCTGATCTAGGAGTGTGCTTTCTTTGACATTCAGTGAGAACCAGAGCAATAATTGGAAGACTTTTTCGCCATTGTCACGTGATACCACCCTAGATGCAACCATTGATTAAACTGATGATAACCATACCATAAACCATTGATTTAGGCTGTCTAGTGTTTTCATTTTTTTACATTCACGCGATGGGGAAGCATATTACACAGATCTTGTAAGCCCGTATGCCACCCGGGCGCGCTCAGGTCGCGCGTGGCGCAGCTGTGGTCGCGCGTGGCGCAAGGCCTCTCCACTCTCACCGCTGGGAAGGACCCCTCCCAACGTTCACAGCTGGGTGCAGTACCGATCGGAGCGATCCCCCGCCACCGCGGACAGCCGTGCTTTGGCGCCAGGGGAAAGCCGGAGCCGTGATTGGTCATCTTACGCCCCTCAGAGCCATCCCACAGGCAGATCTGGCGCTGAAGTATGGAATCGTCATCGCTTTGCTCGCTCGAACACGGAATTTGTTCTGCACCGACTCCGCTCTTTTGCAAGCGCCGCAGTCGCCAAGCACGATGAATCACAAGCTTCTGCGTTTTGCGAAGTATTCGTCTCAGAATTCCCTTTTTACCACCAGATAATGAAGATGCCATTGATCTACTGGACATCGTGCCGCACTGGTATCCTGGGTAACAATCTCTCAATTCAAGGGTGAACTGGAACTCGTGCCCCCCCCCCCCCCTGCTATATCAAATCTTAACACGCATTATTGTGCATATAAGAAGTCAACAGGTTAAAAATAATCGAGGCAGTACGAACAAATTGGAATGAAAGCATGCGATGTTTTGAAACGCAAGGCAGGACATGTTAATGCTCCTGACGCGTACTAATATTGTTTATTTTTAGGAAAATTTCAGGTAAAACCCTTCCCTGTTGTGAAATGACTGCACACACCCCCACCTGCATCTGATCGCAATGCTCCGGATTATAGTCGCGGATAGCATGACTTGGAATTTGCTACCGGACGGATTGAATAAGTTGAAACCGTAGCTGTGCGCGGTCATAATGCTTGCCCCTCTGCCGGACAGCTGGGCCAAAATAGCACAGCTTTCCCCGATCTTTTCTCCGCGCCAGAAGACCTAATCTGGATTGAAATAACTTTAAGCTTTGCCTCCTGACAGCGGTGTAGTCCCTCCACCCGGTGTGAGACCCCAGGCTAATTGCTGCTAAACGAGCAAACCGAGCAAAACAAACCAACCCCGGCATCACGTCGGGCTGGGCGGTCGGCCGCCCGCTCTGCGGCCTAAGTCGTGCCTCGGCTTGACACGCCGCCGATGGGGGTCAGCCAGTCGCCGTGCCATGACGGGCGACCAGTCGGTGGTCCCTCGCCTGCTGGCGCTACGCAGACAGTCACGGCGCGTTTGGCAGCCGCCTCATTTGGCGCTGAGCTGCTGCTGCGGCGGGAAACCGATCAGAATGCCGCGGGACGGAACAAAAGTAGCTTCGGTCAGTTCAGCTATGCGCACTGTTCTCCCATCCTGCCTGCCCACGTTTCTGTTTGGCATCTGCTCATCGTTGCGTACCTTGTGCTTCAGATATTGCGGTGCCACAAGGGCGAGTAGCCTAAGCGCCCAAACCACCATCATCTCCATTTGCTCATCTTGCAGCGCTTCTCTCCCGTGAATGCACTGCTATGTTGACCTATCATCACGGAAGCTTCAATCTCATTGCCCTGTTATACTCCTCTCGCATGCTGTCATCCATCTGTATGGTTCATTAGGCCGGGTGAATCTGCTTACTTAGCTGGTCCCATTTGAAAGCGTCGTAAGCGTGACCTGGGTGGAAGAAAGTACCAGCTCGTGGTGTGGCAACATAAGCCGCACGGGAATATTTTTTGCAAAACTTTTATTGCCAGCATATCAACAATCATCGCCCACCCCCAAACACACACACGCACGCAGGCACGCACGAACGCACGCACGCACGCACGCACGCACGCAAGCACGCACGCACGCACATGCGCGTACACACGCGCGGGTGTACATACGCACGCACGCACGTACACACGCACGCACGCTCACACACATCACACATGACATGGGCGGGACAGCCACCTACAACGGTCGGCACAGGCCCTTGTGTCCGAGTCTCCGTGCGCATTGTCACATTGAGTGTGACAATGTGCACTCCGTGCACCGAGTCACAGGTGCGCATTGGGGCGATGACAGGCCGTACTGGACCCGCCGCGGCCCAGTGTGTTAGTATGAATAAGCGTGGGACAAAATTAACTGGACAACCGGGATGGCCAATTCCATCACAAAAAGGCACACCCTGCTCACCAACTGGAGCATTGGCCGAAACGGTTCAGCGTGTAGCAATAATGCGCGCTAGGATTTGATATAGCAGGGGGGGGGGGGAGGGGCACGAGTTCCATTGAGCCATTGAATTGAGAGAGATTGCTGCCCTGGATGCCAGTGTGGCACGATGTCCAGTAGATCAATGGCATCTTCATAATCTGGTGGTAAAAATGGAATTCTGAGACGAATGCTTCGATTGAACAGTTGTGATTCACCACGCTTGGCGACTGCGATGAATGCAAAAGAGCGGAGTCGGTGCAGAACAAATTCCGTGTTCGAGCGAGCAAAGCGATGACGATTCCATACTTCAGCGCCAGATCTGCCTGTGGGATGGCGTTGAGGGGCGTAAGATGACCAATCACGGCTCCGGCTTTCCCCTGGCGCCAAAGCACGGCTGTCCGCGGTGGCGGGGGATCGCTCCGATCGGTATTGCACCCAGCTGTGAACGTTGGGAGGGGTCCTTTCCAGCGGTGAGAGTGGAGAGGCCTTAGCTTCATGGGTGGTCATCAGAAAAACGAAGGAACTGTCTATTGTAACATGTCATCCATTTACATTTGATCTGTATATGCGTACACACACACACACACACACACACACACACACAACACACACACCACACACACACACCACACACAACCCACACACACACACACACACACACACACACACACACACACACCACACACACACACACCCACACACACACACACACCACCCACACACACACATACCACATACATACACCACACACACCACACACACCACACACACACCACACACACACACACACACACACACACACACACACACATATGTATATATATATATATATATATATATATATATATATATATATATATGATATATATATATATATATATATATATATATATATATATATATATATATATATATATATATGTGCATATCATCAATTCATATTGAAAACAAGCAAAAAATGTTGGTCAAAGGCAGTGTCGACCCTCCCCCCAACCTTCTCTCTCTCTTTGACTGTTCCCTTACCCCCGCAGGACACGATCAAGCCGATGCAGACTGCCACAAACGGCAAGAAAAAATGTTCCTGCTGTAAGACCAACACACTAAAGGCCTGTTCATGCATGCGTGCCTTAAGCGAGGCGGCAAATGGCGTAAATAGCCCACGTCGGTAAATAGTGAAAAAGTCCACGTGTGGAAATAGCCCTAGGCGATAACCCGTGTATCCGGCTACATCGTGGTTTTACTGAAAGTGTCATCCTTCATGGCTCTTGTGTCATGACTTTGCTAAGAGGGTCGCGCTCGTCAACTGTCGCCGCTGTACACGGGATTTGCTTTCTTCTCCCATGTTGGTCTGGTCACGCGGGGCAATCCGTTTAAGAATAGAAATCCAAGCGATTCCAGTTACATGTTGCGGGGTATATGGTGGATTTACGCTTCGCGTCAGGGAGGGGGATTGCATGGTGTTGGGCGTAGTATAGTTATTTTGATGTTTGATGCATCGCATGCGAGTTAATTGCTTAAGTTGTTATTGCGGAACTCCATAAATGAATAGCCAAATATGAGCGTAATGTGCATAAGAAGAATGGCATTATACCATTATTCAGATACTGTTACCCCAAAACTGAAGTAGATCGAGTGGCATGGCACACATCTGAGACCGACTTTTACTCTAGGGCACATGCTTATGTCAATGAGAAGTATTGTAATAAAGCAACGAATCCTTTCCACCAACCTTGGACACAAATGGGCCAACATTCGTGACATAAAAAATGAAGAGGGTGATGTCAAGTCATTTTTCGTTTCCCCTCGCCACACTTTGAGATCGTTCCTGCGCCCCTACCGACATAGGTTCTTTGTTGTGACTTCCCGTGCATCCGAAGGGCTTTGTCGATGATATGCGCTCAGTTTTGTCCTGTCATTTCAAGCCAAAATGGCCAAAATGCGGTAAGAAATGCATTTTCAACAGATGTGGGCCCACTCAGCGACAGGGCTCACCAATGCGTTATTGTGGCTGAATGCCGGTAGCACCGCAAGAGAAGAAACATGTTTAGCTAGGAGCGATTTTTTAGACGAGTGACCCCTTTTAAGATCCTTGTAACCCAACCCCTTACACTCTAAAAAAAAAGTCAAGCCTCGCCTCTCTTTCTCAGGCACGACTTGGCCACCGTACGCGCCATGAATTGAACGGATTGCGCTTACCACCATTCCGGCCAATGTCATTTCGCAAACAGAAAGGATTGTAGCACATGCCATTTTCATTCGGAAATGTCTGGTTATTGGGTATCATAAGCGTCTGATTAGACATATCTAGTTGTAAATGGCCGCACCGGAAAATAAAAGCACGCGGCATTCTTCAAGCGCAAACAGGGGAGCTAAACTGGCATTTACGTGATTGAAATAAGAGGCCATGCGGCGTGGAATATGTCATGAGAACCGTAACCGCGCCTGCTGTTGCCTTACTTCTGCCGCCGATGCAAAACGCCGACGCTCAGCCGGACCCAACGGCACCACGAGCGCATCCCCGGACCGGCGGCACGGGGCTTCCAGCGCCTGGTCATCAGACCCTGTCACCCCAGCGACACCCGCGGCCCGATGAGGCGTTCCACGACATTAGTGTTTCAACAAAGACCACTACCGACAGGAGAACTACGACATGACTCTTACTACCAACACTTGAACTTGACGTTAGTGCTACGCGATAAAACTTGCAATGCAAAATTTTATGCTCGTCATTGCCGACTGCTCGACATTACATCTTCTGCAAAAACCGATGCACGACATTAGGCCTACACGACAAAGCTTGTGCTTGTCATTACGTCTACGGCAAAACTGTGTAGCCATTGCTCATGCACGACTTTACGTCTGCTGCAAAAATATATATGGGAAATTAACGCTTAACTGCAAAGCTAATCCCTCAAATGCTTGTACCCGTCATTTCTTCTTCCGCAAAAACTTATGGAGTCATTGATTATACACCGCATTATTTCTACTGCGAAATCCTGTACGCGACATTAGTGCTACATCAAAGACTTGTGGTAAAGTCTTTGCTTTTAAAGTAATGACTGGTATGCGTTTTTT